ATTATATAAAATGTTTTAAGATTTTAAAATAAACCAAAGGAACAGTACAGGAAAAAAAAAAACTAAAAGGTTACAATAAGGTTATTAGGAATAACAAATAGTATTATGTGCATATATAATTCGATGCTCTTGAACATTAATTTTAGAAAAAAGTTAATACTCATTGTTAATGATCTTTATCATTCATTCATACATAGGTACGTGTATATACATATATATACATATATATATATATATATATATATTCATAATTAATTTATGAAATAAAAAAGAATTTTTTTATGTTAAATTTTAAAAATACTTTTTGTAACATACATTTTTGTGAAAATGTTTTAAGATATTAGCATATAAAAAAGCAACAATATTTACTCCAATAACTCCTGATGATAAGTATTAAAAAAAAAGACCAAGAATGTTAATTTTTGAAATTCTATCATGTTTGCTAATAATTGACCTTCAAAATTCAACAACTTGTAAATTTTGAATTTCAAAATTAGCACTAATAATTGACCAAAAATGTTTTAAGATATTAGCACTAATGTTAATTAATTATAATATATTGAATTTCAAACTTTCTTTTTCTTCTTGTAAATTTTAAATCACTTGTAGATTGTTAATTCTAGCGAAGTAACAAACTAATTAATTACTTACATGATATACTACTGGTACAGATTTAAATGTTTAAAATGACTCATTGTCTGAGTACGTAATCAATAAAGGTTGGTCTAATTAGTAAGAATATAGCTTATGACTCACAAAATTATAGGATCAATTCTTGCTACAAAAGTGACAATCTTATTGGTAGGTCATCTGTAAGCACTTTTAAATCCAACTCACTTAAATTGTTTCTATATATGTGAAAAAAGTAGAGAATATCATTGGGTTTGGTTTTGATGAGCACTCTGGTGATGAGCATTTAAACTATCTAGATTAAACAATGTAAATTTAATTTGGATGGTCTAATTTAGTATTGAAATTATTTTTATAAATTGTCTATCCATATATATTATGGACATACAGTCTAAATTTAAAATTTTCAACTCAGTAATTTTTTCTTAAAATTTTTTTAAAGTGCCAGTTCGAAGATCATTTTAGTTTTATTTTTAATATTATATTTACTCAAATAAAAAATTATAAAAATTATAAAAATATTCAACAAGAAATAAGACCATTTAAATTAAATCTATATTATTCAAATTAATGATAAGATAGATTTATTAAGTTTTATTATTTTTATTTTAATAAATATAAAATAAAACCTATAAATTTGGACAGATTTTTAAGCTAAACAGTCCACGTGCTCCATCGCCGCGCACGCATGAAACTCTGTATAAGTAACAATGAGAGCGTCATGGATCCACACCACAGACCAAGCAGTCAAAAGAGGGCATTCAAAGAAATCATCAAGTGATAGTTTAAATATATATTTTTCAAAAGGGGAAACCATGGGACAAGCCCCATCAATTCCGACGCCACTAATTCTAGGACCACTAGGACTGCCCATATGGATTCTCCAAGAAACTGAAAAACAAAGGAAGAAGGAAGAAGAAGAAAGGAAAAGGGAGGAAGAAAGGAGGAAGGAGGAAGAAAGGAAAAGGGAGGAAGGAAGACGCTCAAAACAGAAAAAGGGAGGAGGAGAAGAAAAAAATAATGAAAATGATAGGCAGACTAATCAACAGAGAGGCTAAAAAGATGGCAAAAAAGATCGGTCATCACATCCTCAATAGTGACGGCAGCAGCCTCAATAGTCATGGCAGTGGCAGTAGTGATATTGAATATGAAAATGGCAAGATGAAGATGAATAGTAGCACTAACACTGACAAGAAGATCAAGAAGAATGAGGACAAAGCAAACCACAGGGGCACTGACACTAACAAGACAAAGAGGAACGAGGACAGAGCAAACCGTAGTGGCACTAACACTGATAAGAAGAAAAAGAAGGACGAGGAGGAAGAAAACCACAGTGACACTCACAAGGCAAGTCCATTATATGTGCATGTCTTTAATTAATTACCTAATGTCACAGTAATAATTGGATTTAAATTTGGTGAATAAGTTAAATTTACTCATTTAATATGTCTCTCAATTATAATCATTAAATATTATTAATAATTAAAAATTATTAAGATATAGTTCTCTACAAAAATTCAAAACAACTATGATAATCAAAACAAAATCTCTATCTCCCCCAACAATAGAGATTTGGTATTTTTTTAGTATTATATGAAAAAAATCTAATAGTAATTGGTTATTATCATGCCAAATGAAATACTCATTAAATGAGTGAATTTAGATTGCTCATGAGATCTAAATCTTGAGAGTTGCATGATTCATGACTTAGTAACCTAGTATGATTTGTTATAGAATTTATTATTTATAGTACCTCATTTGTGTACTTAACGACCATGGTTTATTTGTATTTTGCTTTGATTACAAAAGAAGAAGAAAGAAGAAGCGTGGATTAAGACGATGATGGACCCTTAAAACGAGCTACATGGATGCATGCATATGTGCGTGCGTGCGTGCGTGTGTGTTCCCCCTGGCTGGCTACAAAGCTAGTTCCAACTTAATAACATGGTGGCAAAACATAATAATGAGAACTGTGTTAATGTAACTACACAGATAAATGTAATGTCAAAGTAGAAGCCAATATAGAGACTTGGCTTGGCTATATGTAAATGTGTGTATAAGATGATCAATAAGACAGACCATAGATATGAGATCGGTCTGTATTTAGAATCAAAACTTGTTTTTATTTTTTCTATTTTATTGTTATTACTTTATTATTCATAAAATAAATGAACAATCATGCCCAGGAATGTTTTTTTTAAAAAAAATCAATTCAATTCATTTCTTGGAGAATTTTACACGCTAAAGGAATAATTTGACAGATTGAATAGTGTTCACATTGCCCATTAATATGGACATAGAGATTGATGGAGGATTATTGGAGTGACTTCAGATTGTTATATAATCTTAACACAAGGCATTTTATTTATGGTTCATGAATAATGTGATTTCTTATAATTTTGTAAGTATTGATGATGATGATGAAGATTGGTGAGAGGATGTTCTTTCAAGTTATAAAACACTTTTATCTTATACAGAATACAACTAAAATTGATTTCAAATATAATATTATATTATCTTTAATTGATATTTTTAACATTTATTAGTAAATAAAGAATAGAGAGATTATTTCAAAGGTATTTAAATTATAATTATTATAATTGTTAATGAATAACTGAAATCGCATACTAAAATGACACATAAGTCTTCCTATTAATTAATCATGCATGGGAATATGCATTTTATCAAGAAAAAAATCATAATTGATTGTAGCCAAGAAGTGTATTTGACTTCTGTATATTTTACTTTGAAAATTGTTAGAATTTTTCATGATCTGCTTTGCACCTAAGTAATGGAATAGAGATATAGATAAGGAAGAATATAAGTAAAGGATCCGCAAAGCAATTTAATTTCATAAAAAGACTGCTGACAATTAAATATTAACAATTAATAAGCAAAGTTATTATTTTAATAAGCATCCAATCCGTTCATATTTTTACTAAATTTTAACTTCTTTCAAAGATCCTTTATTAATATTCTCTCTAGACACTACTAAAAAATATGGTATATATAACGCCTTATATTCAACGGTTATAAGAAAAAACGTTGAATAAAAATAGGCAAGAATCCGAAAAGCTAATATTCAGCGGTTAAAAAAAACTATTGAATAACTTTATATATATTCAACGGTTAAATAAAAAAAATGTTGAATAAATTCATCAGAAAAATGCCTGATGAGATCACTATATTATTCAACGGTTCACCAAAATCAACCGTTGAATAAAGCATCAGAATATTCAACAGTTAAAATAAACAACTGTTGAGTAAATGATTCTGAAACCGCTTTATAACGTCATCTGATTATTCAACAGTTTCTTAACTAGAACCGTTGAATAAACGTTGATAATATTTAACAGTTTTTGTTAAGAAACTGTTGAATAAACATTTATTCAATGGTTCTATAACAGAACCATTGAATAATATTATTTAAATTGACTTTTCATTCTCACGAAGCCGTTACTTTTCAAACGCTCAAAACTTCATTTCTCTCTGCAAAACCAAATACCCACTGTCGAATCTCCTTCCCCAAGCATTGAGTCCACATTTCTGGCCAAACCCTTCCATATTCTGCCATTGGAATGCCGTCACTTGCCTTCATTGCCATTTTTATCTTTCGTCTCATGGTGTGCGAACACATAAGTACTCTACTCTTCCCCCTTCCTCTTCCCCCTTCCTCTTCCTTCTTCCTCTTCCCCTTCCTCTTTCTCTTCCTCTCTCTCTTCCTAACTTCATCTTCCTCTTCCATTCTAGTTGCTAGGTTCGTGATTCATCTATATTCAACCGTGGTTACGTGTATGGGTTACGTTGACAAAACAAAAAAAAGGTTAGTGTTTTTTAAAAAAATTGTATAAAATTTGAGTATTTTATTTGAACATAGATTGAATGGGTTATGATTATTTAAAGTGGGGATGATTTCATATACAATGTGCTTGAATTTTGGTTGAACGAAAATGCTCTGTGTCTGCTACCAATTGTTAAATGTGATTGATTGAGTAATTTTTAATATAAATTTGTTGTTATTTTAATGTTCAATTTCTTAAAAAAAGGATAGTAAGCCTGGGAAATGCTTAGTTTTATGCCGTTATGCTGTTGAATTTTTTTAAAAATTTTAGTCTTGCAAATATGACCATTGTTATACTTCTATCTTGTTTCTTGAATTAGTTTAAAATTTTGTAGGTTAAAATAGTGTAAAGAAAGGGCATAATGCCTGGGGAATACTCATTTGAAATTATTATGTTGCTGATTTTTTTAATTTTAATTTTTCTCTTGAAAAGAACAAATATAAGCATAGTTGAAATTGTTGAAGTAATTAAACTCGTGACTCACTAAATGCTTTCTTATCTTTACCATCTTTCTTAAATAAGAGCATTATGGATAAGAAGTGGATGTCTGCCAATCACCTATCTAAAGAATATTGGGATGGGGTGGCAGAATTTGTTAAGTTTGTGGTAAACAATGCAAAAAATCATGAGCGAATTGTTTGTCCTTGTTTAAGTTGTCGCAATGTGATGTCAGTTTCTCTTGAGACATGTGAACTTTACTTGTTTAAATATGAAATTGATCAAAGTTATAAGTATTGGGTAAAGCATGGGGAGACACCTGAAGATGTGAATAATAGTAGCCAAGGGTATATGGAAAGTTGTTCATCACCACCATCTTTTGACACAAATGCAAATGAGGCCGATTGTCTTGAAGAATTAATTGATACGATAGAAGAGGAACTCGAGAATTTTCCAGAGAAGTTAGAAAGGTTGAAAACTAATGCGGAGACACCTTTGTACGAGGGTTGTATTGAGTTCACTTTATTGTCCGCTGTGTTAGAATTGTATAACTTGAAAGAAACAAGTGGGTGGAGTGATACAAGTTTTTCAAGCTTGCTCTCTCTAATCAAACTAATGCTATCGAAGAATAATAAGCTTCCAGGTCGGCTATATGATGCAAAGAAGGTGTTACGCATAGTTAGCCTGAGCTATAAGAAGATGCATGCTTGCCTTAATAATTGTATTTTGTTTAGAAATGAATATGAAGAGCTAACCCACTGTCCTAAATGTGAGACATCATGTTATAAGCAAAATGGGAAGAGTGCGAAGAAGGCAATGTGGTATTTTCCTATTATTCTAAGATTTAGGCATTTGTATAGCATACGTCAAGAGGCAAAAAATTTAAAATGGCATACATATGGAAGGATTAAAGATGATAAGATTCGGCATCCAGCTAATTCTCCAGAATGGATAAGGTTTGATCGGAAGTACCCTGAGTTTGGAAAAAAAGATAGGAACCTACGCCTCGCATTATCTACTGATGGGATGAACCCACATGGTATGCAAAGCAGTACCTATAGTACATGGCCTGTGATGATGGTCATTTATAACCTTCCTCCCTGGCTTTGCATGAAGTGAAAGTATATGATGCTATCCTTGCTAATATCGGGGCCCAGTCAACTCGAGAATGACATAGATGTTTACTTAGAACCATTGATTGAAGACTTGAAGCTATTTTGGGAGATAGGTGTGGAGGTATATGATGCCTACAGAGAAGAGATATTCAATTTGAAATCCATGTTTTTTAGCACAATCAATGACTTTCCAGCGTATGGTAATCTATTAGGGTATAGTATTAAAAGACAACTTGGATGTCCCATTTGTGAAGAGGGAACATGTTCAATGAGATTACAACATGGTATGAAGAACGTGTACCTTGAGTATCATAGATGGTTGGGTGACAAACATCGATATTGTTGGTGGAAAAAGTCTTTTGATGGAAAAAAAAGAAGAGAGGCCACCAAAGCAGTTGACTGGTGAGGAATTATTTGAAAAGGTAAAAGACCTTGATATTGAATTTGGCAAACTATTTGCGAAGCATGTTGGGATAAGCAGGTGGAAGAAAAGATCAATTTTTTTTGAGTTTCCATATTGGAAGACTTTGAATGTGCGACACTTCCTTGAGTTAATGCATATTGAGAAAAATGTGTGCGATAGTCTTGTTGGGATGTTGCTTCATATTCTAGGAAAGACGAAGGATGGCATCAATGCAAGGTTAGACATGGTTGAAATGGGCGTAAGAGGAGAATTGGCATCGCAGGAGAAGAGAACTTGCACATTTCTTCAAGCAGCAACTCACACACTATCTAGAAAAGAAAAGAAAAGTTTATGTGAGTTTCTTGCTACAATCAAGGTTCTACATGGCTACTCTTCAAATGTTAGAAACCTTGTCTCAATGAAAGACCTATAGTTAAAGGGTTTAAAGACTCATGATTGCCATATTTTAATGGAGAATTTTATTCTAATTGCTATATGTGGTATTTTACCTGATAATGTTCGAGGTACAATCACAAAGTTATGTTACTTCTTTAAGTGCCTTTGTAGTAAGGTAATTAATCCTAACAAGTTACCGAAGTTGCAAAGCCGAATTGTGCAAACATTATGTGAGTTGGAGATGTTTTTCCCTCCCGCATTTTTTGATATCATGGTCCATTTAACCGTTCACTTGGTTAGGGAGGTACAATTATGTGGCCCTACTTATTTGAGGTGAATGTGCCCTTTTGAGTGTAATATGAAAGTATTGAAAGGGTATGTGAAAAGTCAAAGTCGACCAGAAGGTTGCATTGTTGAATGATAGATTAATGAAGAGGCTATTTACTTTTGCGGTCAATACTTAAAGAATTCAAGGGATGTTGATGATGAAGTTCCAGAATGGACAACGGGAAGAAAAGTTGTCATTATCTCAAGTGACCAATGGGAAAAAGTACACCTTTTTATGCTGTACAACTCTCTAGAGATTGATGAGTATGAAAAAATTCACAAGATAGAGGTAAAAAGGCAGCACCATCATCGATTAGAGAGTTAGATCATCAAATTGCACAATAAATAGTTCATTCGCTGGTTGAAAGAGCATATTGAAGGGAAGTACAATGCCGATCCTAATTCAGTTCTTGATAGATTAAAATGGCTGGCACAAGGTTCGAGCAAACATGTCTTCTCTTACACTAGCTATACTAGCAATAGGTACAAGTTATACACAAAGGAGCATGATTACTAAAGTATAATGCAAAATAATGGTGTATCCACCATAGGTGATAGCATGCACATTTTTAGTGTGAAAGATAAAAAACCTATTTATGCAAAAATGTGTTACTTCGGGGTAATTGAGCACATTTGGGAGTTAGATTACATCTCCTTTCCAGTTCCAGTCTTTGGTTGCAAATGGGTTGAATATAAGAATGGGGTAGATGTCGATGACTCTGGGTTAATTAGAGTGAATCTGAATAAGGAAGGGTTCATAAAGGATCCTTTCATTTTTCCTCCCCAAGCTAAACAAGTTTTTTATGTCGATGGTCTAGCTGATAAGAAATGGTCTATTGTTTTGTGGAGTAACAAGGAAGTTGAAGAAATGAAAGATGCAAAAAATGAGCAAAGTCAAAGAAATGATGAGGTTGAAGTTGATCCATTTCACAGGACATCATTTAAAAATGATAATGGTGTAGACAGTATTGAAGATAATACTTTCTACATAAGACATGATCATAATGAGGGAATTTGGATTTCTAAGAGAGGGAAATCAATTCAACAAAAGAAGAAGGTTGTTAAAGTGAAGAAGAAATTAGTCAAAAAAGTAGTTAAAACAAGAAAAAGAAAAAGAACAACATAAAAAGGAGTTATGTTATTGTTGACTTATTAAAGAAAGTGCACATGTTGTTATTATTTTTTTGATTTTTTTTAACTTATTCTTTTTTATTTATTTAATCTTGATTATTATTGCTTTCACAGGTAAATGGCTACTGAGCATGATCTTGACACTGGCTCTAGATCCAGTAGTCCGAGTAGGCAATATGATGACCCGGCTAAGAAGAAGGCTGACCTTGATAGGCAGGAAGAACAATTGAGGAGAGGGTTGGTTATGATGGAGGAAGTCACTAAAGCAAGAAATGAAGGAAGAAAATTTATTGTCAAGTGGAACAATAAGAATCAAGTAGTTGACAGTCATAACTTCATCAGTTATATTGGCGTGGCAGCAAAGTCCTCATTGCCTATTACTTTAAAATCTTGGAAGAATGCAACTCTAGTAATGAAGGATGCAGTGTGGAGAACTTTAACAGTAAGATACTATCACTTTGCTTATTTTTTAAAACTTAATGTTTTGCAATCGTTTGTTTAAATTAACATGTTCATCTTGCAGTCAGGATTTGAGATCGAGGAGAGGTGCAAGAAGTTTGTTCTACAGAAAGCTGGGATAGCCCTAAGATCTTTTAAAAGTTTTGTTACCTGTAAATTTTTAGTGAACCCTGACATAGAGGGTATTGAAGATACAATTCCTTCCCTCATTTTGACAATTGTAAGTAAGGATGAATGGAAAGCTTTTGTCAACTCACGTCGTAGTCCAGAGTTTAAGGTAATATTAATATTATTTTATTTATGTATTGTTGCTTTTTTTGTCACCTCTTTTTTATATTAATTGATTTGTCATGTTTTGTGTTTTTTCAAAGGCATTAAACGCCAAAAATAAAGAGTTGGCGAAGAAGAATGAATATACATATAAGGCTAGACGCAAGGGATATACGAGAGTTGAAAAGGGCTTGATTGAGAAAAAGCAAGTGTCGGAGGGTTTTATATCCTGTGGCAGGATTTGGGCCGAGGCTCGAAAAAATAAACAGGCAATATTGACAACCCAAAAACAAAAGCGGTTGTCAAAACAATAGTAAGTATTAATGATATATTGATATAATATTATTAGTTTTTATTTATTCGCTTTGCTTTTTTCTGCTTCACAGGAAACTTTGACTTAGGAGGCATTAGTAGGCACTCAAACTATTGATAAGGATATATTGAAGAAGGCATTAGGGAATACTAACCATCCTGATCATGTTCGGGGCGTTGGCTTTGGAGTCACAAGAAAAGATTACTTTGGCGATGTGTTCAAAAGCAGTAAAAAGGCTGCTTCTTCTACTGAGGTTCAAGAGTTGAGGCAAGAGCTAGCAGAATAGAAGCAGCAGATACTAGCACAATCGCAACAGATATAAGACCAATCTAGACTCATCGACATGCTGTTGAGCCGGCATAAGTTGGGGCTTCCACTGGGCGACAGTAGCCCTAGTGTGAACGATAGTTGCATAGTCCCATCTCAGCTCCTACCTGAGGTATTATTATTTATTTTACTATAATCTTACACAAAATATTACTTTTACTGTTCATATTACATAATTTTTTTTAAATTTGTGTAAGGTGAGGCCGACGTTGATTGTTTGGTAGAAGACGGCTATATGGTTGCACTGGGACACATGTACAACATTACTGGGCAAGTGATGCTTCACAATGAACACATCCTTGAAGGGACAGTAAAAGTCTCTTTGAAGACAATTGAGGACCCTAATTATGATCTACCCTACCCCACTCCAGATGCAAGGACAGTAGTAGATGCATTGCTCAGCTTTGTTGCATGGCCTGTTTGTCTTCTTCGTATTTCGGCACATCGCCAAAGGTATATTTGTTAAACTCATAATTGAAAATTAACTTCGCTTGCATTTTTTTATAGTTGATATCTAATAATCTTATATGTTGGAAAAATTAGCCTGTTGATAAGCTGGTAGGAAAGAAAGCACCAGAGGCTATGAAAGCATTCACTAATAAGCAGAAGAGGGGAAAGGATAAGAAGAGTTTTGACAAATCCAAGGAGTCCATCACATTTCCCCAGAAGACACTGGTTCTCCCTCAAGCCCATCTGCTTAAAGCCCCTTAGCCTCAAGCCTCTAGAAGTCAAGTCGCACCCAACAAAAATTGGCAATTGCTTAAGACCTATGCCGAGATGCAAGAAGGAGTGCCGCTTCCTTTCCCTGCAGACATGTATGCTGATCCACAATCTTTTGACCAATTCAACGTGTTGGATGATTTATTCAACCATGTAGAGGCTACCACTACTCTATGTAACTTATATATGAGGTATGTTTCTAAAACCTTTCATTAAACATTTAGCTATACACACACACACACATACACACTTTAATCATATATTATTCTATTTATTTCAACATTTAAGGAACCTCTACACTACCATACTTGCTGGAAGAGATATAGCACGGAGGATTATATTTGTCAGTCCTTATATGGTCTCTCCTTATGGCCATGACATAATGAGTCCTAAGCAAAGACTGGAAATATCTTAGAAGCTTTCAAAGTACTTCCAGCAACGTGGTGCTAACAAGAACACAATATTCATAGCACCTTATTGTGAAGGGTAATTTACTTTATGATGCTTCACTTTAATTTATTCAAAATTTAATTATTTATATGATACTTTAGAATTGTAATTTTTGTCATAGGGGACACTGGATGTTGCTTGTGATCAATCCAACTTTAGGGAGGGTCTGGTACCTTGACCCTATTCAGAGTGGCCATCCCTCTAACAGACCATATATTGTGGAAATGATTAATCAGAAAGTTGATTAATTTGTTTGCATATATGTAATTTGTTCTTTTTGTATGAATATTTCTCATGTCAATTTTTCTATTTCATGTTAGGGCCATTGTCATGTACTGCACTAATGTTGATCAACAATTTCGACAACCAGTAAAGGGTAGTGGTCGATTTGATACAGCAGCATCATGGACAGTTGTCAAGGTATATGTATTTATCATTTATTATGTTAGAAACGTCACTGTATAGGTCATGTCATATTATTAATTAACTATTTGGTTATTTTATCCATTGTATGATTGAAGTGCCTAAAGAAAGTAGACAAAGTCAAGGATTGTGGGTACGCTGTCATGAAATTCATGAAGGACATAATCCAACATGCTCCAACTGAAATTCTTCCGAATGATGTAATTGTCTTCCTATTCATTAATATTTTATTAGTTTTTATCAATAAACATGATTTTAATTTGTTATTGTTGTTGTTGCATATAGTACTACAAGGACACATACTGTGACACGTATACTCATGCACAAATAGAAAAAGTCCTTAAAGAGTTAGCACACGGTATTTTTAAAGCATGGTTTACTTTCAACAGTCAGCAGCAGTGACAGTTAGGAAACTTTGGCAAATTTTGGAATTTGGAGCTTTATGTTACCACTAATTGCTTTAATTTAAGCACTTCAAGTTGTATATAAGTTTTTTATAGGAATTCATTGTACATTTATATGTATATACGTAACTATTATTGGCTAGAATTTGTGTCTGAGTGCTGGAATATCGTTTTGTAATTTACAATGTAGGGGGGCTGCTAGAAATGTAAGGT